TACATTTTATATCCATTTTCAATAATAACAAACTTTGAATAGGCTTGAAGTTTCTCCAAAATGGCTGACTTATTTTTCAGTTATTCCATAATGCCAGAATTTTGATATGCAGATCTTCCTTTAATTAATTTCTGACCTCTAAGACCACTAGGCACATATCTGTGGAAGACTAACAGTTCTGAATTCGAGATTTCCTGGAAATCACAATCCTCCAGCAAGATAAGTTGACAGATAGCTCTCCATCCAGGAGCTTTTCTCACACTGCTGTTGTTTTTGTTATTATGTGCTGTTGAGTCACTTGTGACTCATAGCGACCTTATGTACAACAGCCCTAAACCCTGCTCTATCCCTTGCCAATCTTATTGTCTCTGACACACCTATTCCCATTACCCCAGTGACAGAATCAATCCACCTCATCTAGAGTCTTCCTCTCCTGTGCTGTCCGCCTACCCTCCCAAGCATGACATCCCTCTCCAGGGACTGATCCCGCCTTGTAACATGTCCAAAGTATGTCAGACAGAGCTTCAGAATCCTTGCCTCCAAGGAGCAGCCTGGCTTCACCCTCTACAGGACAAACCTGTTCGTTCTCCTGGCAGTCCATGGTATATTCAATACTCTTCTCCAGCACCACAGCTCAAAGGCATCAACTCTCTTTCAATCATCTCTAGTCATTGTCCAGCTCTCTGATGCATAGCAAGTAATGGCAAAGACCATGGCCTGTATCACGTGCACCTTAGTCTCCAGACTGACATCGTTGCTCTTCAGTACCTTGGACAGGTCTCTGACAGTAGACTTTCCCAATGCAATTCGTCTTTTAATTTCCTGGCTGCTAGTACCAAGGAGTGTTGACTGTCGAGCCAAGCAAACTGAAGCTGTCAATACACTCAATCTCTTCACCATCTATCATGATGCTGCCAATTCACCCAGTGGTGAGAATCTTTGTTTTCTTGATGTTGAGCTTCAATCCATATTGAAGGCTGTAGTCCTTGACCTTCTGCAGCAAGCACTTCAGGTCCTCCTCAGTTTCAATAAGGAGGGTATGTCATCTGCATACCACAGATTGTTGATGAATCTATCTCCAATCCTTATGCCACACTTCTACTCATAGAGCCCAGCCTCCCAGATGATCTGTTCTGCATATAGATTCAAAAGATATGGTGATAGGACAGATCCTTGATGCAGATCCTTCCCAATTTTGAACCATGCAGTGTTTCCATGCTCTGTTCTACAACTGCCTCCTGGTCTAAGTATAAGTTTTGCATAAGCATAAGTGTACTCAAATTCCCATTCTTCTTAGAGTAAGCTGTCTCACACTAGAAAGATAATTTTCAGTAGAGAGTTCAGTCTGTGCTTAAGTAAGTAAGGAATTAAATATTAAGAGTCATGGACGTGAGAAAGGATTGAAGGACAAATAAGGGAAACAGTCTCATTGACTAAAATGAAGAGTTAAGCAGTAAAAGAAAAAGCCTTATGGTAAGAGTGCCCTTAGAAATTACTCTGGTTAGAAAAAGAAAGATCTTAAAATAAAATTCCATTTATTATCAAATAGGAAAAAGAAATAACTAATAGAGTTTTTTAAATAGTGTAAATACTAGATTTCACAAAGGTTTAAGATACAGGTACATAACCTTGATACAGAAATGTGGGGTCAAGATTGGTGGACGATTTATCAATAATCTGCGTTATGCAGATGACACAACCCTGCTTGCTGAAACTAAAGAGGACCTGAAGCACCTGCTGCAGAGCGTCAAGGACTGCAGCCTCCAATATGGATTGAGGCTCAATGTCAAGAAGACAAAGATTCTCACCACTGGACCAATTGGCAGCATCAGGATGGATGGTGAAGAGATTGAGATTGTACACAGCTTTAGCTTGCTTGGCTCCACAGTCAACACTCTTGGCACCAGCAGCCAGGAAATTAAAAGGCGCATTGCCATGGGAAAGTCCGCTGTTAGGGACCTCTCCAAAGTACTGAAGAGCAATGGTGTCTCTCTGGAGACTAAGGTGTGTCTGATACAGGCCATGGTCTTTGCAATCACTTGTTATGCATCAGAGAGTTAGACAATGACCAAGGAGGATAGAAGGAGAATTGATGCCTTTGAGCTGTGGTGCTGGAGAAGAGTATTGAGAATACCATGGACTGCTAGGGAAAACAAACAGATTTGTCCTGGAAAGGGTTAAACCAGGTGGCTCCTTGGAGGCAAGGATTCTGAGGCTCTGTCTAACATACTTTGGACATGTTGTGAGGAGAGACCGGTCCTTGGAGAAGGACATCGTGCTTGGGAGGGTGGAGGGATAGCACAGGAGGAGAAGGCCCTCTATGAGGTGGATTGATTCAGTGACTTGGATAATCGGGATGGGAGTGTCAGAGACAGTGCGATTGGCACAGGACAGGGCAGGGTTTAGGGCTGTTGTACACAGGGTCACTATGAGTCGCAAGTGACTTGACGGCACATAACAACAACAACAACCACCTTGATACAGCTCTATTGCATGTGAGTACATTTCTACAGTTCTACTGGAAATTAATGTGGAGGTAGGTGGTAAAGTTGATGGTGTGCTGTGGTCTTCTAGCTATGCTGTTCAAAATTGCTTTCCTGGGCCACTGCCTTTGACTTTAGCCACATGGCTGCATAAGAACATGAACATAGGGTATATGTACAACTGATAGGGGAGCTCTAGTAGCTTAGTGGAAGGAACTGCTCTGTCAATCCACTTGCTATGCATCTCAGAGTTGGATAATGAATAAGGATGACAGACAGAAGAACTGATGCCTTTGAATTGTGGTGTTAGAGAAGAGTGCTGAATATCCCATAGACTACTAAAAGAATAAATAACTGTATCTTAGAGAAAGTGCATCCAGAGTGTTCTTTGGAGGCAAAGATAATGAAGCGTCATCTCACATTTTTTTGGCATTTGTTGTTATGTGCCATTGAGTCACCTGTGACTCATAGCAACCCTAGGTACATTTGCTCTGAACCTTGTCCTATCCTAAGCCAATTCCATTGTCTCTGATAGATCTAATCCCTTTTCTCCAGTCACTGAGTCAATCCATCTCATCCGCTTCTGTGCTGTCCCTCCATCCTTCCAAGCATGATGTCCTTCTCCAAGGACTCATCCCTCCAGGCCAACATGCCCAAAGTATGTGAGAAGGAGCCTCAAAATCCTTGCCTCTAGTGAGCAGCCTGATTTTACCCTCTCCAGGATAGACCTGTTTGTTCTCTTGGCAGTCCACAGTATGTTCAACACTCTTCTCCAGCACCACAACTCAAAGGCATTGATCCTTTTATCATCCTTAGTTACTGTCCAGCTCTCAGATGCATAGCAAGTAATTGCTAAGGCTATGGCCTGCAACAGGTGCACCTTAATCTCCAGACTGACACTGTTGCTCTTCAGTACTCTAGAGAGGTCCCTGACAACAGATTTTTCCCAATGCAATTTGTCTTTTGATTTCCAGACAGCTAGTGCCAAGACTGTGGAACCAAGCAAGCTAAAGTTATTAACAATCTCAGTCTCTTCTCCATCTATCATGAAGCTCCCAACTGGCCCGACGGTAAGAATCTTTGTCTTCTTGATGTTTAGATTCAATCCATATTGAAGACAATCATTGACCTTCTGTAGCAAAAAACTCATGTTCTCAGTTTTAGCAAGCAAGACTGCATATGCAGAATGATTCAGAAATCATCAAAAGAAGATGGAGGGAATACATTGTCACTGTACCAAAAATAATCGACCCTGAAAAATTTCTGAAAGTACTATATGAACAACAGCCAATGGTAATAAAGGAGGAAGGTGAAGCTGCAATGAAGGCATTCACAAAAATTAAGGCCACAAGAATCAGTGGGATACCGATTGACATGTTTCAACTAGCAGATGCAGCTCTGGATGCACTCACCATTCTATGGCAGAAAATTGGAGCCTGACTGACTAGAAGAGATCCATATTTGTTCCCATTCCAAGAAAGGTGATCCAACAGAATGTGGAAACTATCAAACTATCATTCAATAAAATTAATATCATATGCAAGCAAAATGCTGCTGGAAGATCATTAAAAAATGACAAGAACATACATAGATGCATAGATAGGGAACTTCCAAAAGTTCATGCAGGACTTAGAGGAGTTTATGGCACCAGGGATATCACTGCTAATGTCAGAGAATGAATACCAGAAGAATGTATGTTGAGGGGTAGTGGACTGCTTTTGAAAGAGGCCAGCAACTTGACAGAGAATTCTACAGTCTGGCAGAAGGGGATGTGTTCAGACCATTGTGTCCTTCCCTTAGCAAGTTTCTCTCATTCTTTCATTTGCTTTTTTCCTAACTATAAGTGATATTATAGAATGACTTGAGTCCCCCCAAAAAATGTGTGTTGTTAATTCTAACCTGTGGTTATAAGTCCATCTGAAAATGGGTTTTCTTTGTTATATCATTGTGGCAGTATTAGTGTGAGGTATGTCTTAAATCAATCTCTTCTGAAATAAAAAGAGCTTTATGTGCAAGCAGACATGGAGGAAGAAAGATGTCATGTCACATGATGATTATGAGAAATTAAGGAATAGAAGTTGAAAAAGACTCAAGGATTTTGTCCTAGAGGGGACAGAAAATAAGAAGCTTTCTAAGAGCCTACACCCTGAATTTGGACTTCCAGCCTCTTAAAAAGGGAGCTCTGGTGGCCTAGTGGCAAGAAGCTGCACTGAAATCCCAAAGGCATGCAGTTTGAGGCCATCACCTACTCCATGGGAGAAGAATGGGCAATCTCCTCCCTTGTGATTAACTGCCTTTGAAAACATGCTGGAGGGTCAGCTATGGGTTGGTATTGAATCTATGGTACACAACAAGCCTCCTAATGTGTGAGAGAATAAATTTGTTTGCTATAAAAAAAATTGTTTGCCATAACAACTCAATTATGATGTATCTGTTATACAAGCACTAGATAACTAAGGTAAAGTACTTACTTTTAAAACGCAAATTCAACCTCCTAAGCCCACCTCCCCTCCTTACCTGTAGCTGAGGGGCAGTGTAAGAGCTGGGTTGCTTCCCTGGGACAACCAGACTGTCTTCACACACTCAATTACCAACTGAGTCAACTGGATGTTGGGCTCCTTGCCCAGTGGACACAGGGTCTCTTGGATGAAGTCCTGGGCAGCCTCAAGCCACTTCTGCTCCTGAAGAAAGTAAATTGGATTACATATCTTTCTGATCATTCTGTCCACAAAGGAAAATGTTACGTGCTGTAGATTTAGAACCAACACATAGCTGACCCTCCGGCATGTTTTCAGAGGCTGTAAACAGTATAGAAGGAGACTGCTTCTTTTTCTCCCTTAGAGTAGCTGGTGGATTTTTTTTAAATCATTTTTTTAATTTTAATGAACATTTACAAAGACTTTACATTTCCATTCATTCATTGTTGCACTTTTTTCCCTGCTCCCCCACCCCATGGTCTAGTTCTAAAGCCAGCAAGTTCAAAAGTAAGAGTGGTTAAAATTACTTTGGAAAAAAATCTATTACATTTCCCTCTTAGAATAAAACATAGAGTGTTGTTAAGAGCTGTTAAGTGGTGTAACCACTGTGGAAGGCGGTATGGCACTTCCTCAAAAAGTTGCAAATAGAGATACCATTTGACCCAACAATTCCACTACTGGGACTATACCCCAAAGAGACGATAACTGACATCCAAGCAGATATATGTACACCCATGTTTACTGCAGCTTTGTTCACAATAGCAAGGAGTTGGAAACAACCTAAGTGTCCATCAACAAATGAATGGCTAGAGAAGCTGTGGTATATTCACACAATGGAATACTATGCTGCATTGAAAAACAAGGAACTCATCCAATATTATTCAAAATGGTTGACTCTGGAGAACATTATGCTGAGTGAAATATCCCAGTCACAAAAGGACAAATACTGCATGGTGCCACTGTTGTAAAACAGGACTGACATCGGGGTTGGGGGGAGACTGAGAAAGATGGGGTCAATAATATATACTGCATTGAAACAGATGAGGGAGAAAACTGTTTAAAAGGGATATGTGATTAGGTATTTTTGTCATGATAGGAGTCCAGAGCGAAGGCTGCATAGTGCAGTGTACCTGGGGGAGGGTTTGTAAAACAATGAAAGAATTTTTCTTTTACTTTTCCAAGAAGGTAATGTCCTAGGAGGGAGGGTTTGGAGGGGAGAAAAGTGCAACAAGGAATGAATGAATGGATGGAAACCCAAAGTCTCTGTAAATTTTCATTGAAATTAATAATAATACATTTTTTAAAAGAAGGGCTGTCAAGTTGGCCCCAACTCACAGCAATCCCATGTACAACAGAAATAAGATATATATATGTTGTCGTTGTTGTTAAGTGCCATTGAGTTGCACTCATAGCGACCCTATGAAGCAAGTCCTCAACCCCTGTGTGTCTTTCATCCTCTCTCCAGGTTCACAGGGTTTCTGGAGGCAAGCTATTATGGAAGTGGATGCCACTCCTCCTTCCAAGCTTGTTTTAATTGGGGAGCTCCACCCGATGTCCGCATTGGGTAACCAACCATTAACGCATTTGACACATCAGTGTCACGGTGTTCAGCCTCACAGCAACCACAAGTTACAGCTGTATGGAAACTTGTACACCAGGGCTATACAACCTGCCACTCCTCAAGATATATATGATATATAGGAGCATGCCCAACAATGGACACAATATGATTTTTAATCAATTGCAATTTTTCATTCAAATGTATATATCTGAATTCAATAAACTAAATGTATGTAAAATATAATTTCACTAGGTTTGTTTCCTATTCTGTCTTTTAAACTAAAATGTGGGATTCCTAGTTTATAGGCCATTTTTAAATACGTAATATAGATTCTGGACACATAGGCGTCATTATAAAAAAACTGTAGATCTTGGGGGAAAAACCCCAAAACCCTAATTATTTATACAGGATCAAAATGACAACAGCAAATCAAAAGATTAGAAAGAACTTCTGGGGGAAGAGAATTAATGGACAAACAACGCAAGGAAAGAAGGTGAGGGTGGTTGTACAACTCCAAGAATGTAATCCATGCCACTGAATCGCACATATAAAAGCCAATGACTTGGTTATGTTTTTCTCTGTATATTCATAACAACAAAATTTGTAAAATTTAAAATATCTCTCTATTTTTCTGAGTATGTGGCAGGCGAAATTTAAATTTTCCCAGTATTTATACTTTAAAAATAAAGCGAAATTGGGACGGGAGGGAAAAACTGTAGGGAAGGAAATCAACTTGGCCTACTTCTAGTGCCTTCTCTTTCACTGCCATTGATGCACACCTGACTCATAGCTGACTTTCTATTGGGTTTCTATGGCTGTAAATTGTATGGGAGGAGATGGTTGCTTTTTCTCCAGTTGAACTGCTAGAGGATTCATATTACCAGGGAGGCATGGCCTTTGGGTTAGCAGTGCAACTCCCTAAGGACAAACCATTAGACAGCTATTTTATTATTATTATTAATTTTATGAAAGTTTAAAGAGACTTTGGATTTCCATTCATTCATTGTTGCACTTTTCTCCCTGCCCACCCACTTCCCTCCAATTCACTCTTCTCTTCAAAGAGAAGTAAAAGTAAAAATTAACTTTCTCATATTTCAATGCAGTATACATTGTTTATTCCCTTTCTCAGTCTTCCCTCAACTCCGATGTCAGTCCTGTTTTACAACAGTGGCCCTATGCAATATTTGTCCTTTGTGACTGAGATATTTCACTCAGCATAATGTCCTCCAGGGTCACTCATTTTGTATATTTCATGAGTTCCTTGTTTTTCAATGCTGCATAGTATTCTATTGTGTGAATATACCACAGCTTCTTTCTTCATTCGTTTGTTGATGGGCACTTGGGTTGTTTCTAACTCTTTGCTATTGTGAACTAAGCTGCAATAAACATGGGTGTGCATATATCTACTTGGGTGGCAGTTATGGTTTCTTTGGGGTATATATTTCCAGTAGTGGAAATGCTGGGTCAAATGGTATTTCTATTTGCAACTTTTTGAGAAAGCGTCATACAGCCTTCTATAGTGGTTGCACCATTTTATACTCCCACCAACAGTGAATAAGTGTTCCAGTTTCTCCGCAACCTTGTCAGCATTTGATGTTTGCTGTTCCATTAAATTTTGCTATTCTTACTGGGGTGAGATGATATCTCATAGTTGTTTTGATTTGCATCTCTTAGAGCTAGGGATTTTGAACATGTTGGCCATCTGAATGTCTTTGCTGAAGTGTCTGTTCATATCCTGTGCCCATTTTTCAATTGGGTTATTTACCTTTATCTTATTGTGGTGCTCGAGTATACTATAAATTCTAGATAAAAGTCCCTTATCTGACATGTCATTACCAAAGATTTTTTTCCCAGTCTGTGACTTCCCTTTTTACCCTGTTGGAGAAGTTTTTGGATGTGCATAGGGATTTGATTCTTAGAAGGTTCCATTCACCTATTTTATCCTCTCCTGGTTGTAGATCAAATAGCTATTTTAAAACTTTGATAGAGTTCAATGGTGCTCAGGGGGCAGGCCCTTGTTTTTCTTGATTCTCAATGCAACTTCTAAGTCATTATAGCTTTCCATTCTTCCTAGACACCTCTATGAACCTTCTGGCTAGTTGGTTACATTCAAAGATTCTGTAGCAGCTTAAAGAACCAGTCTTTAAACTTAGATAACTTCAGCATCTTGTTCATGTCCAATCCAACTGACCTTCACCTTCACCTGAAATACTCCCAAGATCAGGGATGTAAATACTAGAAAAGGTCATTATTCAGAAATGCACTGTTGTTGTTAGGTGTTATTGAGTGAGTATTACCCATAGCAACCCTATGAACAAGAGATCTGAACCCTGCCCTATCCTATGCCATCCTCACACTTCCTGACACATTAGAGCCCACTGTGGCAGTCAGCATGTCAATCCACCTGGTTAAGGGTTTTCCTCTCCTTTGCTGACCCTCTGCTTTTCTGAGCACCATGTCCCTCTCCAAGGAACAGCCCCTCCTAGCAACATGCCCAAAGTACGTGAGGTGATGCTTTATTAGTTTTGCCTCCAAAGAGCCCTCTGGATGCACCCTCTCCGAGACATATTTGTTTATTCTTTTGGCAGTCCATGGGATGTTCAATACTTTTCTCAAAAATGTACTACCAGTATAATAAAAACCTAGATTCTTATATATTTGTATCTTCACTTTCTTTAAGATCTAATTTTTCTGATGGCTTATCCAATGATTTTTTTTTAACTGGCTCACTGACTACTGTTTGGAAGCAGGAGTGGCAAGCAGGAGTGGCATCCTCTTCCAAAATAGCTTGCCACTGGAAACTCTATGAAAGTAAAAGAAACAATGAAAGTTATACAAAAGTTCAGGTCTTTTGTTCATAGGGTCATTATGAGTCGTCTACAACTCAATGACACTTAACAACAATGACTACTATTATTTTCAAAGTAGTAGTACTACAATCTCAGAACCAGACTTATGAGTACAAATTCATGGATGTCATGTCCTGAATGAGAATCATGGAGACAGAGGAAGACTTAGGGTCTGCATTTTAATAAAATTTTCCAGACAAAACTAATATAGGTTAAAATCTGAGAACACTACACAATTCCCCTAAACTATTTAATCTACGGATACAGTGACTGGAGCAACAGGGGTTGATGTGTTGGAATTAGTGAGTCTGGCCCAGGACATGGCAGGGTTCAGAGCTGTGTACATAGGGGTCACCATGGGTCGCAGCAACTCAACAGCACATAACAACACTGTCAAACTGGGTTTCATTTTTGGTGAGAGTTTACCAGACAGATTGGTTTTTCATTCAAAAATTCACACATTTTTATTTATAACATTAATCATAATACCTAAAACATAGGCACACTCTTCAGACTTCCTCCATGTGATTTCCACTAATCCTTTTATCCTACTCCTTACTGTGTTTTGAGCTTTATCGCTAGGCAAATGCTGCCTTTTAAATCTTATATGGTTGACTATTCTAAAAAGATTGAGTGCCTCTCTCATGTTACTATTCATTTTTAAAATACCTGTGTGTTGTTTGGTTGAAAGCTGAGCCACAGGGGTGAGTTTTGTTCCAGGTATGAAGGGTGATTAAGAACCACAAACTTGGGGGTTCCACTAGTCTCTCTCAGACCATTAAGCTGTTATGTTTAGTTTTTACCGTTTTCCCATATTTCCCATCTACACCCAGCATGTTCATCCAAGACTTTCTACTGTGATCCTTTTTAGAGGTGTCAGAGGTAGAAGCTGGGCTCCATCTAGTTCTTCTGGTCTCAGGATTGTGGAGGCTGAGGTTTGCATGGCACATTAGTCCTATGGACTGTTTCTATGCATCTTTGATTTTCTTCCCTCTTCTTTATTCTGGGCAGGCAGAGACCAAGAGCTGTACCTTGGATGCAGTCACTCTAGTCATTACTCTTCAGAGCTGAATGCAGAATATTGTTTTTGTGGATTGTGTTATGCCAAGTGACTGTGACATCCCTCTATGGTCGCAAAGCCTAAAGGAAGACAGCAATCATTCCCTCGGGGCATTTCATTGTGATTATTTATATAGCTTTGCCCCATGTTGGCTCTGCTATATATACATGGAGGTACCATACATGCCTAATACAGAAGTTATCAAAAACTTCACTCCTATCAAATTGACAAGAGCAATTTCAATTTACTTGGCTCCACAATAAACAGGGAGCTCTGGTACTCTAGTGGTATAAAGCTGCAGAAGCAATTCCCAAGAGACATGGTGTTAATCTACCAGCCTCTCCGCAAGGAAAAAGTATGCAGTCTCCTCCTCGCCTGTGAATTACTGCCTCTGAAAATCCGTTGACCCTCCAGCTAGACCCCAGCTATGGATCAATTCCACTCTCTGGTATACCACAACAATAACGACAATAAATATCTAAGGCTACAGCAGTCGAAAAATCAATACGTGTTGCATTAGGAACATCTGCTGGCAAAGGCATCTCCAAAATGCTAGCGCGCAACCATATTAGTGTAAAGACTAAGGTAGACCTAATTCAAACCACGATCTTCTCAAGTATTTCCTATGTATCTGAAAGTTGGTCAATGAGTAAGGATGACAGAAGAATCTATGCTTTTGAATAGTGGTGTTGCAGCAGAGTACTGAATACTCACGAACTGCCAAAAGAACAAGAGTGTAACCTGGGCAAGAATGGAGACACTTCGTCTCACATCCTTTGGGCATCTTGTCAGGAAGGACCACTTTCGGAAAAGACATCATGCTGGGGAAAGCAGAGGGTCAGAGAAAGAGAGGAAGACCTTCAACAAGATAGGCAATCTCTTCCCGCATCTCTGGCACACAACAACAGCTTCATCCAGTTTCCTCGTAGGAATTCAAGAGAGAGAAATGATGCGGATTTACAGCTCACAGCGAGCGCTGGCTAAATAGGAGTATTCGTACACAGAATACGTAGGAACCATCTGTCTCACAAGGCGCCCTCAGGAAGTGCCAAAGAGTGGTCGAAGTCGAAAGGCAAGTCAAAGGGAACCGGGGTGGGTGGGGCGAAGGCAGGGGATACGGAGCGGTGAACAACACTTACAGAGATTGTTACCGGAGCCCGAGCATCAGCCATGCCGCGGCCGAGTTACCGCCTTCAGGAGACGCGCGCGAGGCAGCCGCCGCGGAGACTCACGGGTGACGCGCCTATAATGTCACTAGGGTGCGTCCTGCGCTCCTCCGGGTAACTTCCGGCTCTAAATGGCGGTATTTAGTTACCGCCCGCTGGGTTTAAGTTCATAACACCTCTTTGGAACACTGCGAAATCTTGCCATGCTCACATTCTCTGCTGTACGTAAACCCATTGTTGTACCCACTGCCTTTCCAAGTATCATGTCCGTTTCCAAAGACTCTTGATAACATGTCCAAAATAAATGAGATGAAATCTCACCTTCCTAGCTCCTAAGATGTTTATTCTGTTGGTGGTCCATGGTATAGTCAATATTGTTTGCTAATACTTCAAAGTCATTATTTCTTTTTCAGTCTTCCCTATTCGTTATCCAACTTTCACATGCTTTTAAAGCAATTGTAACAACTATAGTTTGGAACTGGCTACTTGGTGCCAAGAGTGTTGACTGTGGAGCCAAGAAAACTAAAGCTGTGAACAATCTCAATCTCTTCACTATCCATTCTGATGCTGCCAATTGGTCCAGTGGTGAGAATCTTTGTCTTCTTGACATTGAGCCTTAATCCATATTGGAGTCTGCAGTCCTTGACCCTCTGCCTGCAAGTGCTGAAGACCTGAAGGTCCTCCTCAGTTTCAGCAAGGAGGGCTGTGTCATCTGAATAACGCAGACTGTTGATAGATCTTCCACCAATCCTGACCCTACATCTCTCCTCATAGAGCCCAGCCTCCCGGATAACCTGTTCTGCATACAGGTTGAAAAGGTGTGGAGACAGAACACATCCCTGGCATAAGCCCGTCCCAATTTTAAACCATGCAGTGTTTCCTTGCTCTGTTCTGACGACTGCCTCTTGGTCCAAGTATACGTTTCTCATTAGCACGATCAAGTGTTCTGGGATTCCCATTCTTCTCAGAGTCAGCCATAGTTTGTTATGATCCACACAGTCAAACGCCTTTGCATAGTCAATGAAACACAGATATATAATACTCTTGGCACCACTAGCCAGGAAATTAAAAGATGTATTGCGATGGGAAAGTCTGCTGTTAGGGACCTTTCCAAACTTCTGAAGAGCAATAGTGTCTCTCTGAAGACTAAGGTGCATCTGATACAGGTCTAAAGATGAAGAGGCTGCCTGAATCTTTTTAAATCAACTTCTCTCCTAATAGGTGGATCTAACTCTCAACAAATTCTTTTCCGTTCAATCTGAGAAACAAAATTATGTTCTCTGAGTTGTGCATTTGTTTCCTGCTAGCCTATCAGAGGGATTCGTCCTTGTTTTGAATTGAGTAGTGGAGCAAGCCTAGGAATCCCACCTTTGAGGAAGGAGCATCAAAATACCTCCCCATTGGGCCTAATTAGCCTGCAGTTCTGGTTTAGCCTGGTTACCGGAGTGAACTGAGACACTTCTGCAACTGTCAATAAAGTAATAAGTAATTAGCTTTTTATTATATCCTTTAATAACATGAAACTAAATATTATTTCTAAAAAGACTCTCTTTTGGAACTAATGGATACAGTAATAGAAGATACTCTTTTACAGTGTCCTGCATTACTGTAAGACTAATAGATTATAATACCTTAATGGGGGAAAAAGGACTATCTCTTAATTTAGCAGCAGTAGTGTTATCTTTCTTAACAAACTGCAATTTTTTTAATATCGTCTTTTATTTGTAATTGTGGTTTTAGTGAAAGTTTACAGAGATTGTTTTCTTTCATTCATTCATTTGTACACATTTTCCCCCTCTCCCTCCCCCAGTTCACTTTGTAAAGTTTGTCGTTCTCCAGATTGTTAATTGTCATACATATAATGTCTGATCTTCCATTCCTTTCAGATTGTCTTTCCCTTCACCTATTCTAGTGTGGCGTTCATTATCTAGCCATTCTTTGCCTGCTGCCCCTGCCCTGTCCATCCTCTTGTTATGAGAGGTCTTATGCCAGTATTTGTTCTTTTGTGACTAAGATATTTCACTCAGAATTATGTCTTCCATGCTCAACGTTGTACAGTGTTTTATGAGTTTACTGTTTTTTAGTATTCTATTTTTAATATTCCATTGTGTAAATGAACTGCAGTCTATCTAGTCATTTGTTGGTAGGCACTTAGGCTGCTTCTCTCTCTTTGCTGTTATGAACAATGCTACAATAAATGTGTTGCCCTTCAATATCTTCATAAAACCTTTGTGTTGCTTTTTCTTGTCTGTTGTTGTTATTAGATGCTGTTGAGTCGAGTATGACTCATAGATACCCTATGAACAACAGATCTGAATCCTATTCTATCCTGTGCCATCCTCACAATCTGCAGCATCTTCAAGCTCATTGCTCCAGTCACTGTCAATCTACCTGATTGAAAGTCTTCCTCTCCTTTGCTGTCCCACCACCTTCCCAATCATGATGTCCCGCTCCAATGAATAGCCTCTCCTAAAAACATGCACAAAATATGTGAGATGAAGCTTTGTCGTCTTTGCCTCCAGGGAGTATACTGGCTGCATTTTGTCCAAGACATTACGTTTGTTCTTTTGGCAGTCTATGAGATATTCAGCACTCTTCTCCAACACCACAATGCAAACGTATCAAACTTTCAGGTGCATAGCAAGTGACTGAAAACACTATGGTCTGAATCATGTATACATTAATCCTCAAACTGACATTATTACTCCTCAATAATTTGAGTGGTCCCTGACAATAGATTTTCCAAGTGCAATACGTCTCCTGATCTCCTGATTGCTAGTTCCAAGTGGATTGTGGATCCAAGTAAGATGAAGTTATTGACAGTTTCAGCCTTCCCTCTGTCTATCATGATGTTGCCTATTGTTCCACTGGCTTGGATTTTTGTGTTCTTGACGTTCAGATGCAATCCATATTGAAGGCTGCAGTCTGCTCTTCTGCAGCAGGTGCTTGAAGTTCTCCTGACTTTCAACAAACAAGGTTGAATCAACTGCATAATGAAGGCTATTGATAAGAATTTCTCCTATCCTGATGCCACATTCTTCTTTATAGAGTCTTCTTGTTGTTATGTGCCATTAAGTTGCCTGCAAATCATAGCAACCCTATGTACAACAATTCTGAATCCTACTCTATTCTGAGCCAACCTTATTGTCCCTGACCACTTACCCCCATTACCCCAGAAGCTGAGTCAATCCATCTTACAGAGGGTCTTCCACTGTCTCTCCACCCTCCCAAGTGTAATATCCCTCTCCAAGGACTGGTCCCTCCTTACAACATGTCCAAATTATGTCAGATGGAGCTTCAGAATACTTCCCTCCAAGAAGCAGCCTGGTTTCACCCTCTCTAGGTCAAACTGTTTGTTCTCTTAGCAGTACATGGTATATTCAATGCTCTTCTCCAGCACCACAGCTCAAATGCATCAATTCTTCTTCTATCATCCCTAGTCATTGTTCAACTTTCTGATGCACTGTATGTAATTGTGAAAACCATGGCCTGGATAAGGCTCACCTTAGTCTCTGGACTAACATTGCTTTTCAGTACTCTGGAGATGTCCCTGACAGCAGACTTTCCCAAGGCATTCATTTCCCTTTTGATTTCCTGACTGCTGGTACCAAGAGCATTAACTGTGGAGCCAAGCAAACTAAAGCTGTTAACAATCTCAATATCTTCACCATCTATCATGACGATACTCATCAGCCCAGTGGTGAGAATCTTTGTATTTTTTTTTTAATCTTTGCATTCTTGATGTTGAGCTTTAATCCATATTGAAGGCTACAGTGCTTGATGTTCTGGAGCAAGTGTTTCAGGTTCTCCTCAATTTCAGCAAGCAAGGTTGTGTCATCATCTGCATAGCACAGGTTGTTGATGAGTCTTCCTCCAGTCCTGATGCCACATTCTTCCTCATAGAGTCTAGCCTCCCATGTGATCTATTCTGCATATAGATTGAAATGGTATGGATATATAATGCATCCCTGGCATACATCCTTCCCAATTTTAAACCATGCAGTGTTTCCTTGCTCTGTTCTGATGACTGCCTCCTGGTCTAAGTATAGCTTTCGTATAAGCACAATCAAGTATTCTGTGATTCCCATTTTTCTCAGAGTTAGCCACAGTTTATTGTGATCCACACAGTCAAATGCCTTTTCATAGTTAATAAAACACAGATAGATATTCTTTTGGTACTCTCAGCTTTCAGCCAAGAGCCATCAAACATTAGCTGTAATATCCCTAATACCATGGCCTCTTCTAAATCCAGCCTGGACATCTGGCAGTTCTCTGTTGATGTGTTGTTGTAGTTGTTTTTAGATAATTTTCAGCAGAATCTTGCTTGCATGTGATATTAATATTGCTAGATAATTTCCTCCCTCTGTAGAGTCTCCCACTCATAGAGTCTAGCTTCTCACATAATCTCAGCATGCAGATTAAATAGGTATGGAGAAAAGATATAACCCTGATGCATATCTTTCCTAAGTTTAAACCATGCAGTATTCCCTTCCCTTGCTCTGTTCTCAACAATCTCTTGGTCTAGGTTTAGGTTTCACACCAGAAATTTAAGTGTTTGGAATTTCTATTTACCTCAACTTTAGCCATAGTTTACTATGATATGCACAGTCTTTGCATAGTCAATAAAGCACAAATAAACATTCTTGTAGTATTCTTTGCTTTCAGCTAGGATCCATCTGACATCAGTAATGATATCACAAAGATGCCGTAGTCTCTTCTAAATTCAGCTTAAATGTCTGGCAGTTCTCTGTGTACTGTTTTAGCCATTTAAAAATGATCCTCAGCATATTGCTAAATCCTTTTTTGTTGCCATTTTTTATCTGTTCCTGAAATGACCAACACCTAAGTCTCCCCTTAAGCACACTATATGGATGGCACCAGTTACTTCCAAAATAAGACCAGATTATCTAGTCTGTAATAGATCACATGGAAAAGAGAAATTCTAGAAAAATTCCAAATATTCTAAAATAAATAAATCCTCATATTCGAATATCTTTTCCTTTTCCTATATTAGTCTCCCAGGGTTTCCAAAACAGAGAAACAGATTGGGAAGCTCTTTCTCCTGTAAGCTGTTGTTGTTTGCTATTGAGTTGGAACTGACCCATAGCTGATAGTTTTCAGAGGCAGTTAATCACATGGAAGGAGATTCCCCATCATTCTTCCAGAGCAGCTGATGGATTTGAACTGCATGCCTTTGAAATTACAGTACAGCTGCTTACCAGAGCCCCCTGTCACCTGTATACTGATATATAACAATAATACTTTTGCTGTGCCATCTCACCATGGTCTCTGACTATGGTTTTCAAGCAGCAGATCTGTAGCTTTGTGGCAACACTTTTGTTGGTCAACTAAGAATTGGAGTCCATGGACTGATTTAATTCTGATCCAGTCTCTTGTGTGCTCCTGCACGTGTGTGATTTATATGTTAAATACTTCTGGAAATCCTCAATATTTCTGTAGGAAGTAGTATCCATATCTGATGCTCTGTTTATATGATACTCCAAAAATGAGTGTGGATAGAGTTACCTATTGATGTGATAATTTCTGGTTCCTACACGTTGCTCTAGGGAACTCTGGTGACCAAATGGTAAGAAGCAATCCTGAAGGCACACAGAGGATAAAGATGAGCAATTTCCTCCAGTGCGATTAACTGTCTGAAAACCTGCCAGAGGATCAGCTATGAAAGCTAAGAGAGAGGTTTGCTAACAACTAGATGGTCCTCTATTACACATAAAGATGTGATCTTACAGGTCTTGGAAGCTTCCAAGCACCCAGAAAGTGGGCAGTAGTTCACTGTAGAGAACATTAGAAAGACTAGACAATGATAACAAAAGAGAACAACTGAGATGATGGGACTAAGAAAACTGCCAGGACCCTAAAACTGATTACAATAATGAGACTCATCCCTCAAGCAGGTGAACCTAGAGTAGCTATGACCTGAATATCAAGAGTCTGATGAACAAGCAACACAGGCATAAGGGTTCAGTAACAGACAGTGGCTAGCACATTCATGAAACTGACAAGGTATGTATTCCTGGCCACCTGATGTGGAGAATTGTTAAGACAATCCATGATAACAGCCACTATGGGCAAGAAGCTTTGAAACTGCATCTTTTTCCATTAAATCTAGTAAAAGGAATTGTAAAGTCGCCGAGGAAGTACAGAACCCAGTTCAGGTCAAGAAAGACAGTTTAATGAGGAGAAAGTGTTAGGCTGGCTTTTACACAGAAAACCAGCCCCTACTAAAAGTTACAGAGAAGTTTTATATTCTCTTCCAAGGAACTTGGGGAAGGGATGCTCACAGATGCTTTTTACGAAGTAGAGAAGTGGGCTGGGGGTCTTAAATAACTATTTCTGGGAAAGGAGGTAGAGCAGTTTCACATCCTTAACAGAGAAACAGCTACAGATACTGCTTCCTGTGATTGGATCATTTCAGTAACCATACTGGGAGAGGAAGGAAACGGCTCTGCAGTCCTAATAGGAATGAGCAAAATAATCAAGTAAGTGATTAAAAACTGTGAAGCATGTGTGTGTGTGTGTGTGTGTGTGTGTGTGTGTGTGTGTGTGTGTGTTCACAATAATCCTAACAAAACCTATTGCTGCCCTCTTGGCGAAGCAGTGCAACACTGTGATACTGTAGGAGTATATTATTACTATTTTCTCTTATAAAGAACTTATATACCTACTTGTCTTTATAGATACCTTTGCTGCTTGAGAAGAACTGAAAAAATTGGATGAAGTATGCAGAGAAGTTCTAAAAGAAATTATTCTTTAGTTTGGACTCCCTCAATCCATACAGTATGGTAGTGGGCCTGCCTTTATAGCTAAATTTGTCAAGGGCATCAATTGCAGATTACACAGTTTAGAGGCCTCAATGTGCAGGGAAAGTAGAGAGGATGAATCAGACATAAAAGAGCACTTTTGCTGAGCAATGTGAAGAAACACAAGAAACTTGGCTTAGCTTTCTCCCTGTGGCCTTAAAACTAAGGATTAGGGAATTAAGGAAGGGGAAACCTCAAGTTGAGTCCTTTTGACATGACCTATGACAGGTAAATTGCAATTAATCTAAAAGTTAAGAAAGCTCTGTAACAATGTGCAAACAAATCTCTGCCACAATATGAAAACAGAGCTCTGCAACAATATGCAAACAAAGTTCTGCAACAATATGCAAACAAAGCTATATCTGCTCCAGGAAAAAGTAGCAGCCCAACTCTTAGTCATTGAGACCAAGTATTGCTAAAGACTTAGTTAGAAGGAAACCAGTTGAATATAGAAATGGATAGGACTAAAAAAAAGAAAGAAATGAAATTGATAGGACTCTAATCAAATACATCTCTCTATGTAAACAGCTCTTAAACTTGAAGGAATTGGTCCTTCAATACATATCCAGAATTAAGCTGATCCTGCCTCCTTCCTGTTCTAACTCCGTCCCTACAGGTCCCTGATGCATCCAGCAAATCTTCAGAAAGCACCTGTAGACCCTCTGAGGATCTGAAGTTCCTGTTCAAGGAAAAGGCTGTCTTAAAGACCCCTCTGTCATGGCTGTGGGCCACAGGAGGATTCTATACATCACCTTTTAGCCTTACTTTGGAGACATTCTAAAGAGTATATATGACTAACACTCTAATTAGAAGGTATTGTCCTTTGAGTACACATTTCTAGAGTTAAGTGGGTTTTACTCTTTAGTCTTGCAAGAAAAAAAAAAGTTTTCAATTTCTCCCCTAGCTCATACCTGTGGAACTCATCAAGAGCACCAATACTATCAATGTCTCAATATCTCTAGGGTACATTTTAAATTTTTTCTCTTCTCTTACGTTCTCTAGCTTCCTGATTAATTATCCTACAGAAACTCTAAAGAATATTTATCAACATTACTGACGGTGTTTGCGCTTTTCTTTTTCTTCTTGCAGTCATTCTTTAGGATGAACGAACCTTCAAGTTACTTGGTCTACTCTAATGATTTATTCTTGTAGTATTCTAATCCTAGTGTCAGTACACAGTCCTTTAAAGAGAGGGACAAGATGAAATTCTCCCTTCTGACTTGCTTGATTTTTGCCCCCTTTCACAGTTGCTCTGATTCTAACTTCTTACTTAATATTTCCCAAGCAATCACTACTTGGAATAACCTAGCTCAGTGTTGAGTTTGCTGTCAACCCCCTTCAACAACAGAGCAAAGCCTTTCCACTACTTGTTAAAGCCAAGAACAATTGTTGCATCACCTAGCATGCACTTATATGGACTAGTTTTATTCTCCAACTCTCCAATACAGCCAGACTGTCCTGGACAAGCATAGCCGAAACAAGAAAGATTAGCAGTGGCTTCAAAGTATGGGTCAGTTCTGACTCAATGGTATACAACATGCCACCTTTCATAGCCTTTTCAAGAATGTTGTTGTTCAATACAACTATGAGATACCATCTCACCCCAGTAAGAATAGCAAAATTTAGCAGAACAGCAAACATCAAATGCTGGCGAGGTTGTGGAGAAACTGGAACCCTTATTCACCGTTGGTGGGAATGTAAAATGGTGCAACCACTATGGAAGGCTATATGGCGCTTTCTCAAAAAGTTGCAAATAGCAGCCAAGGATGGAGCAAATATTGTCATTGCTGCGAAGACAACCCAGGCACACCCCAAACTTCCAGGCACAATCTATACTACTGCTGAAGAAATTGAAGCAGCTGTTGGAAAAGCCTTGCCATGTATTGTTGATGTGAGAGATGAACAGCAAATCAGTGATGCAGTGGAGAAAGCAGTCCAGAAATTTGGAGGAATTGATATTTTGGTGAATAATGCCAGTGCTATTAGCTTGACCAACACATTGGGAGCACCTACAAAGAGAGTGGATTTGATGATGAATGTCAATACCAGAGGCACCTACCTTACATCTAAAGCATGTATTCCTCATTTGAAAAAGAGTAATATTGCTCATATTCTCAATCTCAGCCCTCCACTGAATCTGAATGCACTATGGTTCAAACAGCACTGTGCTTATACCATTGCTAAGTATGGTATGTCTATGTGTGTTCTTGGAATGGCAGAAGAATTTAAAGGTGAAATTGCAGTCAATGCATTATGGCCTAAAACAGCCATACACACTGCTGCTATGGACATGCTGGGAGGATCTGGTATTGAAAGCCAGTGTAGAAAAGTTGATATCATTGAAGATGCTGCATATTCCATTTTCAAAAAGACAAAAAATTTTACTGGCAATTTTATTATTGATGAAAATATCTTAAAAGAAGAAGGAATAAAAAATTTTGATGTCTATGCCATTAAACCAGGCCAGCCTTTGATACCAAATTTCTTCTTAGATGATGTCCCAGATGCTACTACCAAGAAAGTAGAATCACATGGTGATACTGCAGCTGTCAAAGACGGGAAGCAAGAGCGACAACCACAGCCACGTTCTGGACCTGTGGAAGAAACATTTCACATTGCCAAGAACTCTCTCAATGATGACCTTGTTAAAGCCACTCAAGCCGTCTATCAGTTCGAACTCTCAGGTGAAGATGGTGGAACATGGTTTCTTGATCTGAAAAGCAAAGGTGGAGTTGTGGGCTTTGGAGACCCTCCAAATCAGGCAGATGTGGTGATGAGTATGTCCACTGAAGATTTTGTAAAAATGTTTTCTGGGAAGCTAAAGCCAACATTGGCATTCATGTCAGGAAAGTTGAAGATTAAAGGTAACATGGCCCTAGCAATCAAATTGGAGAAGCTAATGAACCAGATGAATGCTAAACTGTGAAGAAAAGAAGAGAAAGGGGGAAAAATGCTGACCACTAAGCTCAACAAGTAAAAAGCGCAACTGTTCTAAATCTAAAGTTTGTTTTCTTCCCTGTTGAATTGTAAGGATACCTGCATATATGCTTTGGAAAAAAAAATGAAATTTCTATATATGTAAGACTTGAAACTGTAATTAAAACAGTTAGCTAATCAAACAGAAGCTTCACTAAGTGGATTTCTAAGACATTTTGATTTTTGTACGTTATGAGTTTTGTCCTCAGAGTCTTGTATCTCACTGACCGTTTTCTTCTAGGAAAATTGTAATGAGCAAATTAGTCAGGTTCGAGCAGTAGGCCACCTCACTGCTTCTTCCCAGGTAACATGAGGCTAGTCTGTTTAAAGGATTTTGTTTCGGATTATGCACTAATGAGAATCTTAATGATATTATGGATTTTATATGCCTATTTTAAAGAAAATCTACAGTGTATTTTCACAAAAATCATATCATAAAGTACTAATAAATACTATTTGTTAAAATGAAAAAAAAGTTGCAAATAGAGATACCATTTGACCCAGCAATTCCACTGCTGGGAATTTACCCTAAACAAACCATAACTGCCACTCAAGCAGATCTATGCACACCCATGTTTATTGTGGCGTTGTTCACAATAGCAAAGAGCTGGAAACAACCCAAGTGTCCCTCAACAAACAAATGGATAGAGAAGCTCTGGTATATTCACACAATGGAATACTATGCAGCATTTAAAAACAAGGAACTCATGAAATATTGTGCAAAATGGATGACCGCGGAGGACATTATGCTGAGTGAAATATCTCACTCATGAAAGGACAAATATTGCATAGGGCCACTGTTGTAAAATGGGACTGACATCGGGATTGAGGGAAGACAGAAAAGGAGGGGAGAAATGACGTATATTGTATTGAAGCAGATGAGGGAAAGAACTGTTTAAAAGTGATATAGAATGGTGTTAGGTCTTTGCACTGGACGTAAGGCCAAGGACTCAAGAAAGGGACCAGAGAAAGAAAGGAAACTAAAGAAGCTTTATTAAGGGTCTCCTGGGCAAGATTCCTTTGTCTGCAGAGAGAGAAACAGACAGAGGGACAGACCAAGGAAATACCGCACCCTAAAGTGGATTAGAGCAGGGATTTTTTTTTGTTTGTAATTTTATTATTTTTTGTGCGTGTACCGTCAAATCGGATCTGACTGGTACAGGAAGAGATTGCCCCTCCTTCTTGAACACCTTACCTCTGGGATTGCAGTGCAGCTTCTTGCCACTAGGCCACCAGAGCCCGCAAGGGCAGATTTTATAGTGAGGGTCTTTAGGGAGGAAGGGAGGGACTTTCCACTGTGGTTTAGCCAGGTGGGTGGTCTTCTGAGGAAAGGGAGGGGCACTCCATGGTAGCTGAGGCTGTTCACTCCCTTTGTTGACATGTTGATATTCCTTGAATCCTTTGTTCTCCCTTTGACTTTGGTTCTGGCTGACAATGGGTATTCTTGTCATTACAGAGTGAAGGCTGAATAGTGGAGTGGACTTGGGGGGAGGGATTTCATAACAATGAAAAAGGTTTTTTCTTTTCAAGAAGAAGAGTGTATTGGGGGAAGGGGGTGGTAGGGAGAAAAGTGAAATCCAAAGTCTTTGTAAACTTTCATTAAAATTAAAAAAAGAATGTTGTGGTTGTTAGGTGTAGTTGAGTCAACTATGACTAATAGCAACCCTATGAACAATGAATCTGAAGTCTGTCCTATCCTGCAATATTCACCATCTCTGATATACTTGAGCCCATTACTACAGTCACTGTGTCAATCCATCTTGTTGAGAGTCTTCCTGTCTTTCTCTGACCTCCGCCTTTCCAAGCATGATGTCTTTTTTCCAAAGACAGGCCTCTCCTAACAACAGTCAAAGTATATGAGATGAAGTTTCATCATTCTTCCCTCTAAAGAGCACCCTGGCTGCAATTACTCCAGATATATTTGCTTATTCTTTTGGAAGTCCATGGGATATTCAGTACTGTTCTCCAACACCACAATCAAAACCATTGGAATTGGCTAAAAACAAGGCTCCAGGAGTTGATATCATACCAATTGATTTATTTTGACAAACAGACGCTGCCCTGGGTGTGCTCACTAAGTTGTGCCAGGAAATCTGGAGGACAGCCAGCTGGCCAACTGACTGGAAAAGATCGATATTTGTTCCTATTCCAAAGAAAGGTGACCCAACAGAGTGTGGAAATTATCAAACAATATCATTGATATCAAATAAAAGCAAGATCTGCTGAAAATGATCCAAAAACATTTGGAACAATATGTCAACAGAGAACTGCCAGATGTGCAGGCTGGATTTAGAAGAGGTTGTGGTACTAGGGCTATTATAGTTAATGTTAGATGGATCTTGGCAGAGAGCAGAGAATACCAGAAAAATGTCTATCTGTGCTTCATTGACTATGCAAAGGCTTTTTTTTTTTTAGATGCTCAGCCTCATTTAATACCGTGAGAGAGAGCTTAGAGAGTTTTAAGAGAATGAAGCCTTTATTTCCTTGTTTCACACAAAGCTGGCAGAGTTGGTGGGTTTTTGGATTTTAGTCAAAGAGACCAAATCCCATATCCTCGTCTGACTCTTCCGACTCTTCCTTTGTTTCCACCTTGGCTGGGGCGGCAGCAGCAGGAGCAGCTGCGGTAGTGGCAGCGGCCACAGGGGCAGCAGTCACAAATGCAGATGGATCAGCCAGGAATGCCTTGACCTTTTCAGCCAATGGGAAGCTGTGTGGATCACAACAAGCTATGGCTGACTCTGAGAAGAATGGGAATCCCAGAACATTTGATTGTGCTACTGCGATACCTATACTTGGACCAAAGAGGCAGTCAACAGAACCGAGCAGGGAGACACTGGATGGTTCAAAATCAGGAAGGGGCTCTGTCAGGGATGTATTTTGTCTCTATACCTTTTCAATCTGTATGCAGAACAGATCATCCGAGACACTGGGCTGTACGAGGAGGAACGTGGCATCAGGATTGGTGGAAGAATCATCAACAACCTGCGTTATGCAGATGACACAACCCTGCTTGCTGAAACTGAGGAAGATCTGAAGCGCTTGCTGCAGAAAGTCAAGGACTGCAGCCTTCAATATGCAATGAAGCTCAACATCAAGAAAACAAAGATTCTCACCACCGAGCCAATTGGCAGAATCAAGACGGATGGTGAAGAGATTGGGATAGTTAACAGTTTTAGTTTACTAGGTTCCACAATCAACACTCTTGGTAGCAGCAGCCAGGAAATCAGGAGACAAATTGCATTGGGAAAGTCAGCTGTGAGGGACCACAACATCAGGCTGGGGACTAAGGTGCACCTGATCCGGGTTATAGTCTTCGCAATTATGTGCCATGCATCAGAGAGTTGGACAGTGAATGGGGATGACAGAAAGAGAATTGATACCTTTGAGCTTTGGTGCTGGAGAAGAGTGTTGAATATACCATGGACTGCTAGGAGAACAAACAGATTTGTCCTGGAGAGGGTGAAGCCGGGCTGGTCCTTGGAGTCAAGGATTCTGAAGCTTCGTCTGACATACTTTGGGCATGTTGCAAGTAGACTGGTCCTTAGAGGAGGACATCATACTTGGGAGAGTGGAGGGATGGTGCAGGAGAGGAAGACCCTCGATGAAATGGATCGATTCTGTGAGTGGAGTGGTGGGAATGAGTGTGTTTGAGATGGCGAGCCTGGCACAGGATAGAAGGGCTTTTAGGGCTCTTGTGCATAGGGTTGCTATGAGTCGCAAGCGACTCCATGACACATAACAAGAACAACAAACAATCTCTATTCATTGTCCAACTTTCAGATACATAGGAAGTACTTGAAATAATATGACTTAAATCAGGTGCACCTTAGTCTTTAATTTGACATTGCTGCTCCCCCAATCCTTAGAGAGATGCTTGACAGCAGATTTTCCCAATGCAACATGATTTTAATTTCTTGACTGCTGGTACTAAGGGTATTGATTGTGATTTCAAGTAAGACGAAATCATTAACAACTTCAATCTTCTCTCCTTCTGTCATAATATTGCTTATTGGCAACTTGATGGCACATAACAACAACAACTACTACTCTTCCTAATAGACAGTTGTATGTGCCATCAAGTCGCTTGTGACTTATAGCAACCCTATGTACAACAGCTCTGAACCCTACTCTATCTTGAGCTAACCTCATTGTCTCTGACACACATAATCCCAGCCATTAAGTCAATCCATCCTATTGAGGGTCTTCCCCTCCTGTGCTGTCCCTTTCACCCTCCCAAGCATGATGTCCCTCTCCAAGGACTGGCCCCTCTTTGCAACATGCCCAAAGTATTTCAGACAAAGCTTCAGCATCCTTGTCTCCAAGGAGCAGCCTTGTTTCACCCTCTCCAGAATGAACCTGTTTGTTCTTCTAGCAGTCCATGGTTATTTTCAGTACTCTTCTCCAGCACCACAACTCAAAGGCATCACTTCTTCTTCTATCATCCTTAGTCATTGTCCAATTTTTTGATGCATAGCAATAATTGTGAAGACCATGGCTTGGATCAGGTGCACCTTAGTCTTCAGACTGACATCATTGCTCTTCACTACTCTGGCTAGGTCAATGACAGCAGAGTTTCCCAGAGCAAATCATCTTTTGATTTCCTGGCTGCTGTACCAAGAATGCTGTTGTGGAGCCAAGCAAGTGAAGCTGTTAACAACCTCAGACTCTTCATTGTCTTTCATGATGCTGCCTACTGTCTCAGTGGTGAGAATCTTTTCTTGATGTTGAGCTTCAATCCATATTGAAAGCTGCAGTCCTTGACCTTCTGTAGCAAATGTCTCAGGTCCGCCTCAGTTTTGGCAAGCAAGGTTGTATCATTTTCATAACTTCAATCCTGTAGCTACATTACTCTTCCTCGTATTGGATGATCCATTTCACATGTCAATTGAAAAGTTATGGAAATAAGATACATCTCTGGCATAAGCCTTTCCTGATTTTGAACCATGAAGT